CTTCTGCCGAACTTAGCAGCATCCCTTAAGTCTGGTAAAGGGATGTCGAAGGAACCCGTTACAGCAACGTCATCGTCCCAAATGGGATTTATTATTTTTGCTAGATGGAACGTGCAATTAAAATCGTTAGCATTTAACGTAAAGAACAACAACATTATTCATTAATTAAAGTGAGGATTACTTAGCAGCAATGATGTGAATATTACTAGGTACAGTTTATAACTGTTACTTAAATTAATTTTAGTGGTAGTTAGTAACAGGGACTAACCATAGAGTCAAACCAACAACCGTAGATTCAGTTACTTTCCTCTGTATTGTGTGTTTTGTAAACAACGTGATGTGTTAAAGACTAGTGAAAGGAGAGAGGAGGGTAAAACAAATCCGGCTTTTCTTCCCACTCCTCATATAAGATAGCTGTGGCATAACAAACAGGGCTTCGTTAACGTTGCAGAATTTTGGAACAGCCAATCTCAATACAAATGGTTTTATTGGAGGTACTATTTAGACTATGTCCACATTATAAATTTACCGTACACTTATTGGTTATGAGAGATTCATATAAGTATTTTTTATGAATACTTTTTAAGATCTTGTAGTTAGAAATCTGTTTTAAAAAACTAAATACTTTTTTGAGGTCATAGAGGATAATGGAAAGCACATTTGTCGAAATATTTCTTTTAATTTAGCTTTAATAACTCATAATATATTAATAAAGAAAAAAAATGCTTGGAATATTTTTTTTCACAGTCATATTTGGTAATTGTCCAAATTTGACTACAATTTTGTTGATAAATACATTTTCTATTTAGTAAAACAACTTGTATTGATCAAAACCACACACGTGAGGCTATGCAAGAGTGTGAAATGACTTTATATCATAATCTAAAAACATATAAGCTATATTACGAAGGAAACAAAATAGTTATAGCACAGTTTTACAGCGGTAGAGATTACCTGTGTGTCGAAGGTAATTTCTTAAGTGAAAATGTGTATAAGAATTATTTAACGTGCCTTTCTCTATGTACTAAACAGGGAAATGAGCCTCACAATGTGTATGAAAATGGAGACAGGGAGAGATAAATGGAGTCATCTTAAATACATAAACTACAGTAGTCATTAATTCATTTACATATAAATGTGTAAAGGTTTATATATATATATATATATATATATCATTGAATGACCAGCTAAATTTCTAGTTTATTGGTAAATTTGGTTGTCTATTTAGCCTATGAAGAATAATTGACAAACAAACTGTTTGTGTTACTATCCGTTGCACAGAAATCAGTTTTATTAGCAACCTTGTAAATTTTCTATTCACTCTATTATAATGTATATTTATATTGTACAAAACAGAATTCCAAGAAATAATATTTGAAATTACTTCTCACTAAAATGAACCTCGTTTTAAAACCAAGGTAGCAGTGGACACCACTTTTGTGGGACAGTACTTCGAGTTTGATTCCAAAATAACAGCAAAAAACACTAAATGAAGGCCTTGATGTTGGACAGGGGACAACAGGGGACAGGACAAAATCCCCATCTTACCAAGTTAACCAAGACGTGTAACTTGTGTAAGATCCAAATCTTGAGTTTATGTGTATAATAGCATGCCACCAACCCTCATGTAATATTTTATAGGGTTTCTTTTACCATTTGGGTTGAATAGGAATTTCATCTTTTACATTTTTTTCATTAAGGTGGACAAAGGTTTATCGTTGAGTTAACTTAAAAAGATAATGTTCAAGATCTAAATGCTACTAACTGACTGGGTACAACTGAGAACTTTTACATTGGTCCAGATCATGTAAATTTACGTGGGAAGGGTGACACGCATGATTGTACTGTGAATAAACGACAAACTATTTGTGAAATATCTAATTAAAACCCAATTTTTCACCCAAGTAGTGTCAGAAGGACACTGCTTACGTTTGTAATAATATACATGTTAGTTTTCGTTGCAAAATCAATGCACGTCTTTTAATTTATGAGTTATCTTATTTTTTGAAGAAATGCTCACTGACAAAGTGCAGACAGTTGATTGAAATAATAGCCTGGTCTGGGGTTGTCTTGTTACCACATCTTGACTCAAACCCAATTTTTCACAGATGCAAGTCACGTTTGCTCCAGGTGACAAATTCAATCCCTTCTACATCGATGAAATGTTTCATATTATAGATATGTTCCTTAGTGAACCTAAATCAGGTAATTTTAGAAAGTGTTTGAAACTATAAACACTGGTGTAGTTTTAACTGTAGATACTACACTGCCAAAGCTAGTACATCTAGATAAATCTTTAAAGCAGATTTTAAAAATACCTTTAATATAAGATTCTTATCAAATTGAAAGACATATGACTTAAAATCTATAGCACAAAGTCAGTTGTTGTATATGGTATATATAGTGGGGCAAAGTTAGTGTCCATAGTATGATGACAGTGACAGAGGAAGAACTTTATGTGTAGCACACCCATTGATATATGGAACATACCTTATGGAGTCTTGTTTTAAAGTTTTATGGGTTGCATCCGTTTAAGGGGTTAAATGCGTTATGGTAAGTAAAACTATGTTCATGGTAGAACAGTCTAGCTCATACTGAGGCTCCTCCCATAGCTATCTACAAAATCTACTAAAACTGTGACATCAAGTGACAAGATTTTCACTTTTGGTTTATAAAAGTAACACAATTAATTCAGCCATTTCACAAATGTCTGATAAGATTCGAATTAAATCAAAATCTAAGATACATAGTTCTCTAAAATACAACAACAAAAACGTCTTAAGACTATTAAAAATTAAGTTTTTGTATCAAAATAAGAAGATATTACGATTAATTATTTTTCTATCTCATAGTAGTTGGTTTGAATAATATAAAAACATATTTGAATAGCTATAAGGGAGGAAAGTGTCACTAGGCACGTCACGTAACCGTCTTCTTATAAGCAAATTGACATTTTAGACCTCAGGTACCCTTTCTTTACATTTTGAATAACTTAAGATTTTAGTGTATGTTCCTACGCAATAAATCTCATCTTAAAAATAAATTTAAATATAAATTTTAGGAAAGAGAGGGGAAGGTTCTTTATACACAGCTTGTGTATTTATCGAAAAGAAGAATTTTCCAGTTACTCAAAAGTAACATTTTTTAAATTGTCTCTACTTTCAATGCTTCTAAGGTGTCATCGAATTGGCTAAGGGTAGATTTGCAGATAGGTTATACCTTTAATTAAAAACAGTAACATGTTTGAGCTAGTAGTAATAATGTTGGACATTTTATTATAAACTAAGTAATGAGTATGAAACTTAAACTCTTGTTTTCTTTATGAAAGCGATTCACATTAAATTAATGCAACTTCATATTGGCTCATATCAAAATTCATAAAATCTACTCTGTATGCATGCAACAAGTGTGACTATTCATAGATATTGTGATTGGTTTCTGACTATGTAGTTTGTATTCAGGAAACACGTTCTCAAATTCAAGTCGTAAAATATACGACCTTCATGAAACCTTGGTTCATGCAGGAAACAATAAACTAGAATTTAAATTTAAATTTCTTTTTTTTTATTAGGAATTAAAAAAATAATAATAATAGACTAATATTAATGCATATAATTTATCTTCATGTAAGATTTAAGAGTAAACATTGACATTAAATGCTAAATTATTCACCCTTCTATAATTATTTTTAATTATTCTAGGGTTTATATAATTTTTCTGTTCGTTGGAACTATCCAAGCCCAATGAATTTAATAACATAACTGCTACGAAACAAGATTATACAATTCAGTCACTGAACTAGCAATTTTTGTTAAACCCAAGAACCTTGTTGAGGTTTTTTGGAAAGTTTGTCGATTGTTCATAATGCATAGGTCTTTATACATTATAAATCGTGTCACGAGACATGCATATATACACAATAACATAAATATACACAAGTGATCTCTAACCTCTTTTGAAGATACCGTTGATTTATTTATTTATTTATTTATTCACGGTAACACCATTTATACAATAGTAGTTAGCATAATCAATTACAAGATGGCATAATTAACAACGACACTACATTACTAATGCAATTATATCAAACAAAACTGAACTTGAAAAAACTTTGGGTAAGTATGATATTCAATGAAAACAACAGACAATAATAACAGGCAATGCAGACAACAACAAAAAAAAAAATCAATAACAGGCAATGAAAGACTAAAAATAACAGGCTATAAATACAAGCTATATAAATACGGCAAGCAATAACAGGTAATGAAAGGCTATAATGACAGGTTATAACTAATAGACTATAGTACAAGCTATAATACAGCAAGCAACAACAGGCAATAAGTACATACAAAAAATAACAGACAATAAAAATGCAGAAGCAATAGAACAACAGGCAATAAATACAGAGGCAATAGAATAACAGGCAATAAAAAACGCTCAATAGAATTCAGTCAATAACATGCAATAAATAAATACGGACAATAATACAGGCAGTGAATGCAGTTAACGATGGTGTCCTTTCAGATTTATGTAGATTTTTTTGGCGGTCACAACTGAGGTGTTCCAAAGGTCAACGTGCGGGGACAGGAGGTTCCCAATCCTATGGAGACGGGGGATCACACTGTTATGCTCATAGTTGTTGGCGTAGGCTTGAATAGCGAAGAGGTTCCTTGAGCGAGTTCCTCCTGGAACTCGAAAGAAACTGACTGTTGATTGCAGAAACTACATAATGCTTTCTAGGCTCTATTTATTTATGCCATAATAGGTTTCCAAAGCAAACTAACTATCTTCAAAGGCATCAAGTTTACTAATTCCAAACAAACAAGCACGAGTAAATCTGTCAGTGCATTGATAAAAACAATACAAATAAGTAAATAGTACTCAAGTGAACCAAATATCTCTAATAGCTTCATTAAGAAGAGATATCAGTTGACTTTGTGTCACCCTCTCGAGATATTGAGTTGGTTTTCAAGATAATTTTACTTAGTTAACTAAGCGAATGAACTTTGGAGATAAATATACAGTAAGTGTCAGTTTTAGTCCACCATGTTACTAACATCATTTGTTAGTGTTTCTATTGTTCTCATAGTAAGTGTAAGGTTAGTATTCGCTGAATATATGTTCATGAATACATAAAATGTAAGTAAGTACTTTAGAAAACCAATTATTATTCATGACAAATTATTAATTCAATGTTGATTACCAGTATAACCAGGTAAGATGTTAAAACATTTTCAGTATGCTACTTTACGAAAGTATTACGCCATAAGAGCCCTTAAAGTTCTAATGTTATTCTTATATTCATTCAGTTTGTTTATATTTGTTTATAACTATGCTTCAGTTATTTATTTGTAGGCCAAACAATATTCTCCACTTGTTTGGTAATTTTAATAATAATAATAAGTATTATATCATGAGTGTTATAAGATAAAAGATCATGGGCTCCAAGTTCTTAAGTCGACAACATGGGTCCAAACTGCGAATAAATTGCAGTTTCTGAATTGTTCTGCGATTGGTTCAAAAGGTTTTAGGATGGCAAGTCATTTTGCATAAATCGAATGTAGATCCGATTGGTGTCAATTTTGATGATAACTCTAGCGAATGTGACACTAAAATGATTCGATCAGGTAACTATATAAATTTATTTACATAGAAAGAAATTGGTGTTATCAGTGTAGGTTAATAAAACATCACTGTAGCATAGGTTGTTAGGTTGCTAGTAGGCCCTAGGTTCCTAGAGGTTACTAAATTATAAACAAGCAATAAAAATATTCCCAAAGTTGAAATAATTGTCTATGGCAGTACAGAGCAAGGCCCCGCTAGAAAAACAGGCCATGCTGCAGCGCAGACAGCGCAACACTACGTAACAGCTGTGTATGGTTGAACTAAAATCTTGCCATTAAAATCTGCCAACAGCGAGCTTATTTACCTAAAACATTTGGGATATGGCAGTGAATCTATCCACAAGTGTGACGTCATGGATCCTGCAGCATGGCCTGTTTTTCTAGTGCGGCCTTGTACAGACTAACCACACAAGTATTAATAATGTATGTAACACAACAAAATCGGACACTGACATAATTAGGATTTAAATATATACAATCTCAATCGGACAATATAATCGGGCCCTTTTTGACCCTAAGGAACTGTAGTTTGTTAACATATGGTCCAAAGTGTGTGATAACAAATTTAACATGGAAAGGCGAAGTAAAGAGAAAGCGACAGGACAGTGGGTAAGAGTCCTTGGGGCCTAGACATTCTAACTCGTAAAACAATTAAAACTACAAAGAAAATTTCTAATCTCACATTATACTAGTGTTCCGTATTCAAGCGCTACCTAGATATTTCCAGACGTTTCATATCATACAATAACCTTTGTCCTGTCACGCGATGTCTGGAAACCCCAATCTCGCCCCAGTTCTCTTGCATTCATGCAACTACTAACATGTCCCCGGCACAATTAACTCCCAATTGCTGCTCTCATCTCTTAACCCCAAAGTATATTTAATTATTATTAGTGACACATATTAAAAGTGAACTATTGAACATTTGTGAAGTGAAACACTACTACTGCCGGTCCGGGTCTGTGTACGAGCAATACGCAATAGCTGGCCAGCAGAAGAAACTCGTGTACGAGTGTACGTCTACCGGCTTCGTCTTCTCAACACTTCAGTTAAAAGGAAGGTACCTCATCAATCTCATTACAGTATTATCTGTTAAATAATTAGTGACAAGTTTTTAATATTGCTCTTTCAACATACAGTCCATTTGAACATTTTTAGGCAAGTTTACCCCCCATCCGCTGGTCCTGTCGAGTCGGACAAAAATCATATCATTAATAATATATTGTGCTTTTATTAGCCTAACTACTGTAACTGTTAAAATTGTACAACTAAACTCTTAAAAGTGTCACTTCTCTAAATAATTAGAGCAGCATTTGTATTCCCCATTACTATTTTTGGTGAATAAATAATATTTTATTCCATTCCCCTGTGCCATCTCAGACGTGAATATTTCATGTTAGTTTCATGTTCATGTCCTCCCACTGCTACATGAATCACGTCATATTTCCTTTCAACTAGTTATTTGAAATCAGGAATTAGTTAGGATATTTAATATTTTCTCTAAGTTTCTCAATCAATTCACCATATCAATTATTGTCATTAACAATAATTTTTGTCTGCACTTTGTTTCGTCCTTAATTTTCTAACATATTTTCACTTATCAGAAAGTCAGCCATTTTATATTTTCTGTCCTTGCGATGCACCTTGGTAGCGAACTTCTCCACTAGAGCGCTCTGCCTACAGTCTGCACGTCGCAAGAACCAATGAGCGTCGAGATTCGTAAAACAAAATAAATCGCCCAATGATATTGCTTCTTCAAATTGATCATATGTAAAACTCAGTTTCAAGCACAGGAAATCAGCTGACTGAATATAAAACACACTCCAGCTACATACAGCTGTGTGAATTGAATCAAAATATAAACGTAACCTTCAAGTTTATTTATTTACATCTTGGAAAATATTGTTTTGTGTGAATATTAAACGAAATATTAGTGGTTGAATCGATTCTTGTCTACATTAAGGATATTGCTCATAATAAATACTTCCCTACTCAATTTATTCTGCGAAAATACTGATTCAAATTAAATGACTTGTGTTAAATAGACTTTACCTTTATTTACTATGTCTATCCTGGATCTGATGGTAAAGTGAAATATAATTTTACATTCATTATTTCTTATAGAGTGAATGTAAATGAATTGATTTATTCTGAGCTATTAATTTGCATTATTGTTAGGTCTAAGACTTGGAGTTATTTTGATATTTAGTTGTTGGGAATATTTACATAGGCCTAAACTTATGATAAACTTAGGCCTATAGCTTACTCTGTTGATTACATAAATGGTCTGTTAAAATGAGATTCTCTACACTAGAGAAAAAGGCAAAACTTGTCAAAAATAGGCTTCAGAAAATAAGCAAGTTTGTGTCAGCCCAAATTACTCTCTCAGAAACTCAATCATTAAATGTTGTTTCCATTTAGCGCTTACACAACTATGATGATGAAGTTAGAGGTTTATTCTCTGATTTTAAAGCTTTATTCGATAAAGTGGTTTATGATGATCCTGGTTCTGATTATGACGAAACTGAAGCATGCTCAATGCAAGATGAAATTTCGGACTTGTACATTTCTCTGATCAGTGACTTGAAAATAGTGTTACCTGCTAAAACTAAAGAAGTAACACCTCCCACCCAACCATCTCTGCGACTGCCCAAATTTGAGTTGCCCAAATTCACCGGTAACTACGAAGAATGGGTTAGCTACTACAATATTTTTGAGGCTTCTATTAATAGGAATGAAACTTTGGCCCCTGTGAGTAAGTTCCAATATCTGCTTAGTTCTTTAAGTGGTGAACCCTTAGATTTAGTAAAGAGCTTAAGCATAACTGCAGAAAACTTTGATGTTGCACTTAGGCTGCTTAAGGATCGCTATGATAACAAAAGGCGTGTTGTAACTCAGCTTGTTACAAAAATCATTGATTTGCCATGCATAAGTAGTGGTTCTCTCAAAAGTCTCCAACATTTTCTCACAGTTTATAAAGAGAACACTCAAGTTTTGAAAAATCTCAACCATGACATAACAGCTGAAAATACTCTGCTTGTCCTAACGCTTTTGAAAAAGTTACCTACTGATTTAAGAAAATCTTTTGAGGATTCTCGCATCACAAACAATGACATACCTGCAGTAAATGATCTAATTCAATTCCTTGAAAGAGAATTTAAACGATTAGAAGGAGCTAGTATCGGTCTTGGTCCCTCAGCTAACGCAAGATACCCTTCAGTGCAAAAGACTCAATCTAATAGTTATAGGCCTAAACCTCTTCGAGATAGTAAACCTTACTCCTCTCAAGCTAAAACAGCTTTCGTCACAGTGACTAACACTTGTAAGTTTTGTCAAGCATCCGATCACAATATATACAAGTGTCAAGCCTTTCAGGCTAAAAGTAGAGGTGATAGAGTTGAATTCACTTGTAAAAATAATCCATGCGCCAACTGCCTAGGCCATCTACATGATACTAATAACTGTCCTTCTCATAGAGTGTGTCGAATTTGTTCAAAGCGACATCGCACTCTCTTACATGACTCAACTCCCACACAACAGCAGCCAAGTTACCCAACCAAGGTTTTTGAAAAAAAATATGGTAAGCCGCCTACAAATAACGCACCCCAAAGCCATGTCACCGCACCAGTGAATAAAAGTGCTCTTGTAGGATTGTCTAGCCAGTTAAACCCAACTAAAACAACAATTTTACTTGGAACATGTTTAGTTCAGGTGTTTTCCAAAGATGGTCAGCAAACTGTACTCCGTGCTGTGCTCGACTCTGCATCTCAACTTACATTGATATCTGAAAGAGCTGTTCAGCTCATCAGTGCCTCCCGTACTCGAGCACATGATGAAATCCAAGGAATTTCTGGCTCACTAATTCATTCTAGAGGAATAGTGCACATTGATATATCTGCAGTTAATGGTCAACGCTTAGCCTACCATCATCCATGCTTGGTTTTGAATCGTATCACTTCACCACTGCCCCAGATCCCAGTCTCACCTCAAGTGAAGGGATCTTTAAATGATTTTGTTCTTGCAGACCCCTGTTTTGACAAACCTGGAGAAATTGATCTATTGATCGGAGCTGATTTATTCGCTCTCTCACTGACTGGTGAGCAGCACTTCTTAGGCCATAACCTGCCCCAAGTTTTAGGAACTATATTCGGATTTGTTGTAATGGGCATAGCTCCTGTTGCTACATCTGAGTTATCAATCCCAAAAACTGTTTCTTTTCTCACTACACATGATGGAGACCTTCACAGTTCAATTCAAAGGTTTTGGTCAATCGAAGAACCCCCGACATGTGTCAAGACTCAGTCAGAAGAAGATGTTCTCTGCTTACAGCATTTTGAAAGAACCCATACACGTGATAACTCTGGTCGATATGTTGTTAAGTTACCGAAAAGACCAAATCATCCACTATTAGGTGAATCTTGTAGTACAGCTCAACTTAGACTTAAAGCGATGGAAAGAAAATTTGCTGCTCAGCC